TGAGACCTTTGGTAATTTTATAAATCATAATACAAAAATTACATTCTGATCATTTGGTTTCTGCCTGATGAAAAAACAAAACAAAAAGAACCATTTGTGTCTGGCTGAAGGCATAATTGTCATTAACTACAGTTTTTGTTCATTAGAAACTCACTTCTAACCACAGTAATAAAGGCTGCAGTAATATTTAATATTATTTGTTCAGTGATTTATTAGAAAGATATAAAAGAGAAGATATCAAGAGATATCAGTTGTTTGTTTAAAAGAAAATTCTTTTTAAGCACATGATCGTGATTTAGTCGATACTTGCATTTTAAACATCAAATCATTGTTAGGGTCGACCGGGAATATTTTTCCAATAGTGTCAGTACTGTATGCAACAGAAGGAAATAGACACCCAGACACCCAGTTTCACCTACATTGACGGCTCGTCAATGTAGGTGAAACTGGGTGTCTGGTTTTACCTTACTGCCATCTGGTGGCTCATTAATGTTTACCGCCTGAACTCGTTTAGTTGAAAAGAGGAAATGGAGAAGCAGCAGTGAAGCTGCTCTCAAACTGGCTTCACCTTTATGGTTTTGAGCAATATTACCGATGTAACCATGTCCCTGCAGGTGGCCGGAGTCAGAAGTCAACTAGTTCCTGGAATATGTTCCGTGTTCCTGGATTTACAACATGCGTCTAATCCTTCCAGAATCACGTGGGAGCTGCAGCCAAGTTCTCAGGTGAGGGCGGGGTCTCACCCAAGATTATTCCTCAGTCCATCACGGAGTCACATAAAACATATGATTTTAAAAAATGATTTTAACATTTTTCGTTTGATGTTTGTTGCCGTTGTTTTGACACCACGTGTCGCTCATGAAATTAATCTTTTGAAATTGAAAATATTTACTTGATTTTATTTAATTCATCTGTGTTCAGTGTCACATATACTGTATATGTAGAGACAATCAACCGTTCACTGTAACACTCATATTCACAGCTATTTTATTGTGAAAAAGTAACCCTATCTTCAAGTTTTTGAACTGGGGGGAAACTGGAGAACACCCAAACAGTCAGAGATCATTTTGATTCCAGGGCAGTCATTTATCAAAAGCTTCTTTCCAACATGTAGTTGTAGTTCCATAGTTCTCTCTACTACTCTGGCGTTCTTCTGTGCCACCACATTCTGTACAAGCAGCCTTGTGCCGCGAGCCTGAGGTAAAAGTGAAGGCCCTCGTCTATAGCTGTAGCTAATTCCAGTTTTGAGAACGTGTGTTTCACTTTCAGCCTAAGCTCCAATGAACTCTGAGTCCATGCTCACGCTGCGAAAACGCTGCGGTTGATCATAAGAAGGAACAGTGAGGAAGGACATTTTGTTGTCAACACACAGAGGTGAAGGATGTGAGGTGGAAGCTCGGCTGCGGTTGATGGCTGGCTGTGAGCTGCAGTGCTCCAGACTAGAGTGGACGCTCGGCTGGAACATGAAGGCAGAGGTGTTGTGGGAAGTGATGGACAAGGTGGAGGCTGGTCGAGTGGACGATGGAGGAGGAGGAAGTCGCGAGACTGACAGCGAACCTTTGCAGTTTGCCTCCCCTCTCTCCACCCTCCAACTGTTCACCTCCTCCTCCTCACTGATGGTGAGATGTTCTGCTCCTTCCTCCTGCATGTCTCCAAACTGAATCTCCAGCAGAGGAGTTCTGAGGCCCCGCTCCTCACTGAAGCTGCACATGGTGCTCTGAGTGTCCTGACCCAGCCCCGATGGCAGAGACCATCCTAAAGTCCTACAACTGTCATCATCATCATCATCATCATCATCATCATCATCATCATCATCATCATCACCATCATCATCAGGGGAGCACATGTCAATGCCAGGGGAGTGATGCAGCCTTTGAAGCTGGTTTGAGGTTCGATGAAGACCCATGAAGCCCGTGGGCGATGGAGCTGCATTGAGGAGTCTGTTAAAAAGAGCCATGTTCGGGTGACGGTTTCCAGACTCCTCCAAGTTCTCAGATATTTCCTCCAGAGGCTGAAAGTGCATCTCCTCCTTTGGAATCCTGTCACAGGAAAAGGACAAATTAGGTTTCCAGACAGTTTATTCAGTCTTTCCCTCACTGTCGTACCATCTGGACTGAAAGTAGCGGAAAAAGAAACTCACGCCATGTCAAAGGTGGAGCCCTGAAAAGAGGGCTTTCGGAGGATGTAGAGAGTGGCTGCTGTGTACAGAGGTCGAGGGTTGGAGTCGTTCCAGTAGCGGTCTTTCTCCAACATTGGAAGATCTCCATACATCTCATCTACAGCCATCATGGACACCTGTGGGTTTAAACTGTGGTTTGTCTCTTCCTGTTTTATTCATACGTTTTTATAAATGTAATTGTCTATGTTGTCGTTTTATGGTTTTTTTTTATGTTTCTCTCAAACCTGTCTGGAACATTGTAATATTTAGACTATGTCCACAGTGATTGACCTGAAAGTTCCTGTCGATCAGCCAGTTTGTCTCAAAGTCGTCGTCATCTTCTCCAAAGGGGTTAATCAACTGCTCTGCTACCTTCAGGACATAAAAGGAGTTGTTGTTTTTTAATTACCCTTCTTATTATAGAAAAAGCTCAACACAAACTACCAACATGAGATATCACCGGACCTTGAGCCATCCTGCATAGAAGAAGAACTGCAGCAGAGTGAAGATGGGAACATACAGGTCCAGGTCGTGACCTGGATAACCTTGACCTGGGTCCAGGAACTGACGCCCGATAAGACACACCAGGAAAAAACTGTACACCGCCAGAGTCACCACCTAAGACCAGAAGAAGAAGGTATAGAATTCGATTTTTTTTAATTATTAAAGTATAAAATACTTTTATATTTTTTTAGTAATGTTTCACTTTTTGCAGCTTTGTCATTTTTTACGTATTTCAAGCAAATGAACACCCAGAAGTTCATAGTCTTAAACTCAAAATCCAAATTCATCGTCAAGGCCCTGGGTGGCATAAATGTTGTTGAGATGAGCTTTTGGTTCTCTAAGATGTTCTAGATACAAAGGAAATTTATAACATTACAAATGATGTTTTAATGCTTTGAATTTGAAGGTTTTATACATTTATTTTAAAAAGGTCCCTGCAGATAGTCATCGAATTAGTCCTAAAGAAATTAGTCCTTAAGAAAAAAGGAATTGTAAGCCTGCAGTGTGGCAACAGCACCACCACGTGGCCAATAATAAATTACACCCATTCGGAAAATAGCAATATGTTTTTATACTGTTAACCTCTTCAAGGTGGAACAGTTATATCTTTCACGTGTGTGTGCACAGTAGAATAGAGTGTTTGTGTGTCAGTCAGACCTGAGTGTAAACCAGAGGAACACTGATCATGTCATAGTGAAACAACATGCTGCACTTTCCCCTGAACACGTTCAGCTCCTGAGAAAGAACAAGAACCGTACAGTACTAGAGAACAACAGCACCAGAAGTCACTTATCAGTACGTTTCTGTCTCGTGTTTGTTTGTGTGTGTGTACCTCCAGCAGCAGTTTGAGTGTGTGATCGTCCCTGACCCGGCCCTCACACCGGGCCACAGCAGCCAGGTTAGTGAACCACACACAGGGAATCCAGTATTTGTTGAAGCGGGAATGAAGTCCCTCAAACTTCTTGCGCTCCTCTTTGCTCATGAATCCTGTTGAGACGTAGAGTAAAGACTAACACTCATGTAAATGTACGTCCTCCACCCTCCCCACCGCCCTTTCATTAGTCTGTTCAAACATGTAAAGGATATGTAGAGAACCAGAAGCTCATCGTCATCAATATTAACATATAAACTGCCACTGATGAGGAACACCTCCTTGCACAGGAGAATCAAGTTCATCTGCTCTGGTTGAACAGTTCCAGCAAACATGCCCATGTGGTCTGCCTAAGGTCTGCGATCCAAATGTTTTTTATTAAAAGAAACGTCCTTGCCTTCTGTAGATAAATGTTTTGGCGTTTGGTTTTTTTTTTTTGGAATAGGCTTCTGCTTCTTTACTTACTTTAAACATGTAGAAGAAGTCTGAAAAAAAGGGGTAAAAAGTACTACAACATTTGCACAGTACTTTGTGCTACACAGAAAAACAAGTCCAAATTTTATGCCTGCTTTCTAAAGACCAATGGTTTTGAGGGGGAGTTTTTGTGGGAAACCAAACGGTTTTTGTACCAGAACTGCTTGTGATTGCAAGTCGAGATAAAACAGTGTAAAAATACATTCAACACTTTGTAGTCCGCCCACATTTACTGTACGTGCAGTATGTAGAGTATCATCTGTTCTAGTCAAGGATGTGTCTGTCTCTCTGCTGTAGAGAATGTACAGACACACATTCACGTGATGACACGTGTGACTCATTCACAGTTTCTGTCGTTTCCTGACTCAACTGTGGGACAGAAAAATACCTCCAAATGTTTTTTGTTTTTGTCTGATCCAGGTGTGAAAGGTCACACACTCATCACCAGCACATCTGCTCTTTAGTTTGTTGATACAGGAAATCAGAGTGGATACATGTGTGTTTAGTTACTTAAAATCACCCCGGGTGTTTCCACACTCACCAGCCTCCACCACATGGTCCATGGTGGGGAAGCGTTTGAACACGGCCGTGCTGACTGAGCGGAGGATGAGCAGAGCTGACAGGCTGGCGTATCGCATCATGGTGCGTCTCAGCAGACGTCCACGTTCGTCACTGCCGTGAACGCCTCCAGAAAGGACACACATGAGCCGGTCCGGGAGGGGAATGTTGGTGTACTGGTTCCACCAGCGGTTCACCACCAGTGTCACGTAGAACCCTGGAACCAAGGCGAGATAACACAGTTAGAGGATGTTTGTAGAACTGGCTTCTCTGTGGTTTTTCTTCTGAGGACTAAACACACTAGTGCCCTGCAAATATTACAGTATGACTGGGTTTTAGAAGACCAGCTTATGCATAAATATACACAACTGCTCTTGTCGACAATATAAACACCTCAGAAATGACTTAAGGCTAGGCTACAGTGTAAACTGTCAAAAGTTAGCAGAAAAACTAAAACCTTGGCATTTGAATGTTAAATGCTAAAATGATTCCTAACATTTCACAAGGATTGGCATGAACACAAAAGGCCAAGGCTATTGATTTATCAATATAATCAACTGCAAAACATTATAATCAACTGCAAAACATCTATAAGTTGCAGTAGCTACAGTGTACAGACAATATTTGACTAATTTCCTTGGAATGCTATGGTTTTCAAATAACAAATCCAAAGTTTGTTCTACAGTGATAAGAGAAATTAGAGAAGTCATTCTTTCTAATCACCTCCAGCAGCAGAAGAACAACTGTAGATATGTGTGTGTGTGTTTGTGTATCTCCAGTGTTTGTGTCCACGACAACTTTGTGATCTTACACAGTGTCACGCACACTTTCTGCTGCTGACTCATCACATCCAACCACAAACCTCATCATGGACTGATAAGTCTGATATCACACTGCAGAGCAGAACATCTCCAAACCTCACCCAGAACAAAGGACATGGGGATCAGACTGGCGTAGTGGTTGCAGTAAATGGCCAGTTTTTCAAAGTATCTCTTCTGGTCGTCATGGAGGAGGAATCTGAAAGAGTGGAACGACACAGATTTTTTTTCCATTGGTACTGTATTCTTCATCACGTCCTGAAGCCCCTCTTGAGTCTCTGCTCACCTGTAGGTGGTGCTGATGGCAGCGTACATGGCGAAGAAGGCCAGGAACTCCTTGTACAGAACCTTGTAGATGCTACCTTTCCAGACCAGCAGCAGTTTGGAGAAACCACAGAATCGGGCGTTTGCCACTCTAGCTGTGTAGGTGACCGTCATTGGTTACAGTCTGTGGACTCAGATGCTGAGGAGAAAGGAGGTGCACTGGAAAATAACCAGCACACCTGTGGGTGGAAGACCTGATGTGAGTTCATGAATGTGGAAGTGAAAAGAATCAGATGGAGTTTGCAACTTTGACTTTACAATTGTCCCAAATAGTTGGCTCACATATTTTTTTTAATAAATAAGAAACAAAAACCGATCAGATTTAAATAAAACAAAGACTAATTAACATAATCAATGATTAGACTTGAATCTAATATCGGTTTAACAGCACCTACACATACCTTGGTCTAACTGATTTTTGAGGTCCCACTGGTCCAGACAAATGTGTGAGATGTTTACATGACTCCAAACTGACTGTCAGTGTAGTTTATTTCAAAGGAGGTTCAAACCTTACCTGAGGTGTGGTTTGATTGGACCTGATGGATGTGACCGCTGATCAGCGTGTCTTCCTACCGCTGCGGATGTGAGTCCATCCTGTCTTCACTCGTAGAACGGTTCTCTCTGTGCTCCCGTGTGGTTCTTCTCACAACTCTGATGTCGGTTCTTTCAGTGCTGGATTGGTTCTGTGGTGTTGAGTCCGTCCGTCCACGGGTCCGTGCGCCCCGGTGCTAAATCCCCCAAATTGATGAGGGACAAAGGGTGAGAAGGAGCTCGTTAGCGAGGCCCCCGACCGTGTGAGCTCGGCTCGGTGATTCGGTGATGGACTGCAAGCGACAGGCCACAGCGGCGGAGCAACAGGAGCGCAGGGCGCAGTGAGCAATTATGGCACAGCAGCAAGTGAAGCGTGGACTGACGCTCTTTTAAGTGATATGGAAGCAGCGGAGTCTGATCTGACGATTAGTGGTCTTTAAATCGCTGTTGTTTTGGTTTAAACAACAGATTATCTTATAGTACAGTTATCAAAGCAGTGGTTTAAATGTGTTCTACAGTTGGCCACAAGATGTCCCAGGAAGGTGGGCTTAATGAAAACACTATTCACAGATTTGAATTAGTATATATACAATTATGAAAAGGCACAACTAGTAAAACTTAAATAAAACAAATAGTATAGTAATAAACTAAAAATAAACAAGGATTAGCTAAAAGTGGCTTCTAATGGAAATTACTAATGTTATCCTCCTCTGAGCCTGAACTCATTTGTTAATCGGACAACAGCTGCATCATACTTTAGAACTTACAAGTCACTCCTGATCTCCTGGCACCGTTTTATATCAACAGGGTCAGTGCACCTCAATATATCATCATCACATTAGTGCAAAGTCTGTACCTTAATCCATTTCAAACAATGATTCTCACTGTCTTCATAAATCCATCCTGCTCCACACTAACGTGCTTACTCGCCCAACATGACTTCCACATACTGTACCACAACCCCATTAGGGCATCTTTTATTTATTTAAGTTATTTTTACTGAAACTGCTGCAGTTATGTCAATAACTGTACTTAGGCTCTATCTAGTGGGATGCTGGGTGATCTGACTCGTGTGTGTGGCTGTGTACTATGCATATTACAATTAAATTGAAGGACCATTGCAGTACTGTTCCATTGTACAGCTTGGCTTTGGTTGATAAAATATTCAAATGATCTTATTACTTTAAAAAAGAAGTGAAAGACAATCATTTAAAACCAATGGCTCTTTGCACTATATTGCTGAATTTTAATCTATTACTCTTTTACTTTTCTCAGGTGCTGTTCATTTCTCCAAAGTTGATGGAAACATCAGAGGAATAATACCATCGTCATACTCCAGGTGAAGGACTAATCACAACTTTACTGTAGAGACACACACAACTAATTGTTACATTTTTAGTAACGTTTGAGCTTCCCACTACCAGTTTTACTTCTCTTGAGCATTATATTTGATTTACTGCACAGGTGTTAAGTTAAATAATTGACCACAGAAGTCTCTGCTTGGAGGCAAGTTTGTTTTAATCAACATTTGCAAAATAATTTATAGAAAACAGCTTCTTGTCAACTCAAAAGCAAGTAACAGAGGAGAGATGAGAGGAGGTCGTTCAGGGACGACAAAAAACAAGAGTCAGACATGAAAAGAAAAGGAACGACATTCAATAGACTTTAACAAAATCAATGCTTAAGGCTGTGTCTCCAAACAGTGTTCCCATCAGTAGACTACAGCTGTGAGTTGACACAGAAAACTTGTTAGGATTTTTGACGTTGTTTTAAAATCTCTGTCCCGTCACCACAGTATTCAGTTAAGATGATTAAAGATGCGATCACAGGTGAATTCATTCATTTACACAACAATCAGACACAGGAATGAGCTCAGATATTTTCACAAATGCTCAGAGACAAACGTCAGACTTCATGTTTGCTTTTATTGCAAAAAGAAAGTTGTTCTTGGTCAAAAGGAAATGTTTCTAAAGACGAGGGGACATCTTTTTCTGTTGTTTTCTCGGTGTCATCCCCTCTAGTAATCACACCTTGAATCTGTCGGTCGTATGTAGTGCCTTTATAGGTGAGGGGGTGGGCTTGTGTTGAAGTAATCGTTTATGAAGTCAAACACAGAACAGACAAACACACAGTACAATAACTGGAAATATTCTTAGACCAACATTAGATCTGATCCTGAAGCTTCACTTCATACTTTCAAACCGGATCCTTAAGCCCAAGTTTTATTTATGTTTAATGTTGTTTTTAGACCTGGTATCAACCTCCACCCTGACAGACCTGATCACAACTGACTGCTTCCACCTCACACTGCCCTTAGAGTATGTGGATTACAGTCCTTCTGTGTATTTAACCCTGATTTCTATCGAGTCACAATGAGTAAAAAATGTACCAACATGTTCAGAAGTGTTTCCAGGAACAAGTAGGTTTAAGAAAAAGTTAAATAAAACGCTGAATCAAAGCAAGCACGAAAAGCTTGAAAAAACATCAAGGTGAAATGAGATTTTATTTGCAAAAACAATTTCAGGTATTGATCAGATGTAATAATTTGCCCATGGCTAAAAAATAAATGAACACAGGAGCCCTGAGAGGAGGAACGACTTGGGTTCATTGTGAGTTACAAAAGGTTTGCTGAAGCGGCGGCAATAAATGGGTCAGGACGCGAACACTAAATTTTGTTTGTGGGATTCTAAAGAGCAGTCGGGAGTCATTCCCATGTCATCAGATCAATCAGGTTAGATGTTAATACCAGATCTAAGTGGAATCTGAGTGGATCGCCTGTCTCAGCTGCAGAGTTTGAGGCTAGTTTTTGGGAGAAGGCAGCTCAGAAGAGAGTGGGTACAGAGTGTGGGGGAGGAGGTGACGAGGGAGTCCTGAAGAGAGGGAGATCACTTGTTTGGAGGTTTGTAGGGTTCCAGGAGTTGCTTAGAGAAGGTGTTGACCTTGTCTGTTCCTCGTACCTCGTGGGGCAACAGCGGCAGCTTGACTATGTGGAAATCTTCATAAAGGTCCTCCATCTGTAGAGACACAACAGGCCGTGAAAACACTGAAATATACTGAAAGAAATATACTGAAACCTGCTGTACGCTAAAACTCCAAAACAGGCAACGTCTAAAAAGATATCCACCCTAATAATTGCAAGCAGTCGTACATGAGGCCCCTGATCTTTTCAAACTTTACACACTGTCTTGTTTTTGTTGTCGTTTGAGGTGACGGTACCTGGTCTAAATATTTGGACTGTATCTTATGACGGGCTTCACACATCTTGCACGGCCTCTCCCCGTCAGGGAAAACCAGTTGGTTGACGATGATGTTGTGCGTGTCGATGCTGCACTTGGCCAGCTCCTGGATCAGCCGCTCCGTCTCATACAAGGACAGGAACTCAGCGATGCAAACACAAATGAAGGTGGTCTGTTCCTGCAGGTCAGAGGTAAAGATTACATCACTGGTGGCAACTGTGGGTGGTCCAATCTGATAGATAGGATCAATATATACTGTATGTACTGTATATATATTACCATCAAGGTAACCGTCATGATTCAAAATAACAGAGAATCACATTCAAAACCATATTTGTCCAGGTCTGGGCTTGGTAACGCCTTTGTATTTCTATTTACCAGGATGCAGGGAGGCGTGTCAGTAAATCAGCATGCATTATGGGAGGTTTCAAGCTGGTATGACACCTTAGTTAAAAAAGTGTAGCACAACTGTGTGACTCACTGGGTCTTTGAACTGCTCACTGACTGAGCGAATGACAGGCAGAGTTTCTTCAAGTTTGGAGGCGAGCTGGTCTGCGTTCATATCACCCAGACCCAGCATGTTACACATCTGTAATGAGACAGAGACAAAATGTTATTCATTCTGCACAATAACTGACTTTTGTAAATAGGACATAATAAAAGCTGCTGGAGATTCGATTTACCTGAGAGATGAACGGACTGATCTGGTTCTTGATCTGCATGAGCCGACCAAGTCCACGCTCCACAATGGTGGGGAAATTAAGCAGTCGCAGAGTGTGGCCAGTGGGGGCAGTGTCAAACACAACCACTGAGAAGTTCATTCCTTTTACTAACCTAATGTGCAACAAAGTAGTTATTTTTCCTAATTGGTCACATTAAGTAATTTCTCTGATTTTCTGGTGACCTCCGTGTCTCACCTCATGACCTCTGCGTAGCTCATGGCCTCATCAATGCCAGGGAAGGCACTCATGGCTTCCTGCATCATCTTCTTGCCCATGCTGAGCATGTTGTCTTCTTCAAAGAATTCATCAGGAAGCTCTGCCACACCCAGGCTGGGATCAATCTCCTGCACAAACACGCGTGAAAACACACACAGTCAACTACTTTCTATCTTGGGAGATTTTTGCACAACTTCTTTACAAAGTTAAGTCTTACCATTGCAAAGAGGTTGTCATATCCCTTGACCTTTGTAGGAACCTTTGAAAACTTCTGATCAAAAGCGTCAGAAATGTTGTGGGCGGGATCTGTGGAGATGATGAGGACACTCTCCCGGACTGCTGCTAACTGGACAGCCAAACTGCAACTATACACACATAAAGGTCAAGTTAGTACAGTATATGAAGGACAAAGTACAGGACACCGTGGACATCAGAAACCCTGCCTCGTTCTCTTCCGTCTGATCCCAATTTCAGATTATATTGTCATCTACAAGCAGCCTGGTCCACTGACTCCTGCCTGACCTCAGAGCTAATCCAGACCAATTTACGCAAACCCACCATCTTCCTGTCCTGTGCCACCCTCACATACTTCTCTGCCACTAGTGCAGTTTTTCATGCAGTATCCAAGTTCTTCTCTCAGCATAGCCCATCACTACAAACCCACTACTACAAATGAAGTAGTAAGTATAAATCAATTTGCCTTGACATGCTTCTTCCCTTCCAAAAATCCAGCACCTCTTTGAGGTCCCGCAATCCACTTTGGTAACCACTGATTTTACTAAGTTAAGCAACACCTACGGTTCGTACATCTCCGTAGCAGGAGAGTGCTTTGTTTATGAGCTATTCCTGGCCCAAGTATTTGTTGCCCTGAACCTCTGAATACTCATAAGTCAACCTGCATCATGTTTACGTCGAGAACTGACAGACTAGAGTGTCTACGGGCTAACATTAGCTGCTGACAATGCTATGCAGCACTTGCTAGCCGGCAAACGATAAGTAGTTTAGTCGGTGGTTCTAAACAAATCGCTCGTTGAAGCTTAATGCTAGCCTGGCCTCAGCTAACCTGCTGACACTGGTTTAGGTATGCTTGTTTTATTCAATTAATGTCATCGATCCACGTCATACCGCAGTGACAGTCGGCTAAGTTCAGTTAGCTCAGCTAACTATGCAAAACGATCGTCTTAATTTTAACTTACCTACATGTGGTTTTCCCAACACCGCCTTTCCCACCAACAAATATCCACTTTAGAGATTTCTGCTCGATGATATTCTTCAGTGTTGGTTCTAACGGCTCTACATCAGGCGCATCTTCAAATTCGTCTTCCACAGACGCTGCCATCTTGTCTGTGTACAGTGAAACGTTTCTCTGAGGTAGGATGAAGCCACACGGATGCCTTCACGGACACTCAGAATTTCACATTCAGCCAACTGTCTGGATGTGGAGTTCAGGACTACGGGAATTTTAGATTCGTGGTGCTTTGAAGAAAATAGAGACCCGGGTTTAAAGCATCCCGGAGTCTTTAGATGATCTTAATCCTTTCACGCAGAGTGGTCAGTTGACAGATATCTAAAAGCTGTTTGTTCTATGTAGACGAGTTGCACACGGATTTCTACTGTGGATGTTAACCTATAATGTAATACACTGCCACCCATTGGTCAACAACAGAAAAGCAGGGCAGGAATACCCGTCTGATTCTTAAACATGGCTTTAAAAATGATATACTGTATTTTATAATAATATTTTATTAATATATAATATATTTTACCTTTAATTTATATTATTTTGACAATATGTTGTTTGTACAAACAATTGATCTGCCTTAATTTTTGGCTTGAAATCAGAGTATTGTTTCCCTCTTTATGTACAAATCCCGTGGAATTTAAGTAGATACAATTCCCCGAGTTCGAGACACTAACATTTAAGGTGTTTTCAACTTGTCTACAAATACGTTTTCATGTAAAATGGATTTTGTGATTTTTTTAACTCACAAAAAATCTACAATGCACAAAATGTGATCACAATCATTAAGAAACATTATTTTTTATTCTTTTATAATTGCAAATAGGGTTCTATTGTTTCTTTGTTTCTAATCCATTCTTCACATCAGAATCATCATAATAAAGTGAGACATTTACTGCTTTAATGACATGGACACAAATGTCAGTAACATTTAAAACATTAAAACATTTCAGCCAGGAAAATAACTCAGTGTTACACACAGTCATGTTAGGAAAACATGTCAGTCATAAATTGTAAGTTGGTGGATGAAGGTGAGGAGCCGTGAACTCTGCTTCATGTACATGAACATTTACATGCTGTCACCACAGGATAAGACACCTGCCTCCACAGACATCTTCTCAATGCTCCTCCTGTCCCCACCTCTCTGCTCCCGTTGCTCCAGGCACTCCTGGTCTTTTTGGAAGCATCTCCACCATGTCGGGTTTCCAGGCAGTGCCAGGCCAGAATCTTGATGTGTGCCGTCTGAGCTCTCACACACTCCATCCCACTGGGAAAGGAGCAACTTCCTCCTCTGTCTGAACTTCCACAGTCAGTCTGCCTCAACCAGCGAGGCCAGAAGGCTGGACCCAGGTCTTTCCACTGGTAGGAGAGTTCACATGTGGCAAAATGCACCAACAAAGATTGAATTGAAGTGGTGACCTGTGGAGGCAGCAGACTGAAGTCCAAACGGGACACTTCCAGCTGTAGCTTCTGCTTCTGATTTTCTGCAGCCTCCTTCAGCAATGGAGGAGGAATCAGGATGGTCTTCTCCTTGATGGGGCTGCGCTCAGTTGTTCTGACCTGAAGAAGTTGTCCATCCCCATGAGCAGCAGGGGCTTCAGGAGGCTGCTCTATGGACATCCAGAATGGGTCAAAAGATGCTCCAAGGAGACGCAGAAGACGAGAAGGCCGGCGATGTCTGGGCTCTGCGAGGTTCTGATGATCGTCTGGGTTTGTCTTCAGACTGTAGGGTCGTATGGGCTGTAAGAAGGACGGTAGACTGTGTCGAAGCCACAGAAATGATGCGTCCAAGCCCAAGCCCTTCTGATCTGGGACAGCTGTCACATTTTGAAACTGGTTTGGAATACCAAATGCACTCACTTCTAGTCCATACAGAAAGCAGAATGTAGAAATCCAGCAAAGGCGTCCACAGATGTACGGTTTAGACATGGTGTTCAGTTTATACTGCAGAAGAGGAGACTGTTGAGTTTCTGCAGTCTGTCGTCTCACACACCTATTTATTGGTCGTCCTCTGGCTGAGTCAGTGACTTTTTGTTCTCAGACATCCTTGAGTTCTCCTTTCCAAAAACACCATGGAAATAAGGTTGTATCACACAAGTAACAGACAAGGTCCTGGAACTTTTTTTACACTTATCACCAGCTCAAAAAAAAAAAAAAACAAAAAAACTCACGCCCTTAGGTCTGGGAAGATGTGTTGATTAGTAGAGTTATGGTAAAAAGTAAAAACTGATACAGTCCTACCCCTGTTTGGTGGAGTTGAGTCAGGACGCCAGACACAAGACCTTCAGAAATACCAAATAAGAGCTTTCTCACACAAAGAGTTCTGTTAGAAAACAAGCCTCTAGGACATTTGACTTCATGGTTACATTTGAAACGCAGGACAGAAGAACCATGTTGTCAGAACAATGTCCTGTTTATTCTCATCGTCATCAGGCTTAAAGGACCACCTCTGGTAGAGTGTGACCAGGTCATCATGTGGGACAATGTTGGACAGAAAGTCAACAAGTGGCACAACATTTTGATGAGACTATAGCACTGGCTACTGAAATGTGAGCCTGGCCTCCCCTTGGGGGCGCCAGAGTACCAATAGGAGTTCGAGTTTCTAGTGTTATAGAACCTGCAGATTTCAAATATCAAATCATTTTAGAAACTTGTTTTACTTTAAGATTTATTTTGGTTTGAATTTGCATCTTTACATAATACAATTCATAAATACATCCATATGAGGGAATGGATACTTACAATAACATACAAACAACAACAATATGTATGACATGCTGTGGTGGAGCAGTGGGTGGACTGGGTAGTGGGTTTGTAGAATGGGGTCTACAGTGTGTGTGTGTGTGTGTGTGTGAACTTTACAGCAAAAAGAAATAGATATAGCCAACAGTGAAGCATTTGGACCAGGATTCAAGTTCAAATTACAGCCATTCTCTGCAGCTTCAATGCCAGAACAAGGTAAACCATTCTAAATGAATTCTTTATTGTTTCATTTACAGCAGCAACACTATGACTCTGTTTTTTTAAGGCTTGAAAGTCTTTCTTCATATACTCTGTAATATTGGTCAGTATTAGGTGAAAACCTTACTGAATAAAAATAAACAATATAGATTTCAAGTGTTTGTAAGCCTTTAATATGTATAAAACCTTTATAACCACCAGGTCACGTCTGCTCTACGTCTGTGGCTTCAGTTTCCAACCTCAGTGTGGAATCAGGACACTGTGTCCACTTCATATTAACGGTCTACAGCATG